TTTAAAATCTAGCCGTTGGCCTTCATAATTTATCCGTTGGCCACTTTAAAAAATAGCCATTTGGCCCCCAAACTTTACATAATTATACTTTTTTCCAATTCTCAACTATAAATGCCCCCTCATTCTTTCATTTTTACTCACCAATTCATCAATCTCTCTCAATCTCTCTCAATCTATATCTAATTTCTCTTCTATAATTGCTTATTTTATTATTGCAATTTCGTGAAAAATTGTGAAGTTGGTGAATTGAAGTATTCAAGTCTTCAAGTGTTCAACGATTTTCAATTTTCAAGAAGTTGTTCGGCAATTCGGTAAACTCGTTCCAACTCTTAAGTTTTAAGAATATATTTTTGTGTGTTTAGTCTGCATAATTGTAATTAATATGGCATTTTCTTTGAAAAAAATATTTGGTGGTAAGGGAAAAGCTAAAATTGGTGAAAGTAGTCTCCAACCTACTACCCTTCCCCCGGCTCCCCGACCCAGACCTGTTACCCGTCCTGCTGCTCCTATTATTCTTGATAGTGATAACCCTTGTTTTCAATTTTCCGATAGTGAATTTTGCCATAATGTTGCACCAGGTGAACAATTAAATGAAGAAGTTATGAATGCTCGTTATCCTAATCAAACTATCTTAGAAAATGATGAGGAAAATGAGGATGTAGATGAAACCCAACCGGATTTAGATGATACACCTACTAGTCCTGTTAATAACCCAACTGATGCCCCGCCCGACCCACCTGTAGAAACCCCTACTTTTAATAGACAACCTTCTAAACGCCTAGAAACATCATTAGTTTGGAATTTTTTTACTCAAGTAAGAGAACAAATTAAGGCTAGGTGTAAAACTTGTGGGAAATTGCTGGCGCATAAATATACTGGAGACCGTAGTGGTACGGGTAGTTTGGCTAGGCACATACAAACACACCCTAGAGATAAAGTTAAATATTTACAAATGAAAGCGCAGCAAGAGGGGACAAGTGTAGATACTGCGGTTAACCCTAGTACAGGTTCAAATCTAGTTCAACCAGGAATTAACACTGTGACCGGTGGTATTTTATATTACGATCCTAATAAAGATCGTGAAGAATTAGCAAAGATGGTTACTGTTATGTGCTTACCATATACTTTTCCTTCTAACCCTAATTTTGTGCATTATATTAGAAAAGTTTTTAATCCTACTTATAAAGGTTGGCCTCGCGCAACAGTTAAGAGCGATATTTATAAATATAAACATGAATATGAACAATATTTGCGGTATTTATTTACTCATATAACTAATCGGATTTCTATTACTACTGATATTGGTAGAAGTAATAATGACTGTGATTATCTAACTGTTACAAGTCATTGGATAGACGAGGAGTGGATAATGCAAAAACGCATTATTGCGTATAGAATAATTAATTCACGTCACACAGGTAAGTTTATTGCTAACACCGTTGCAGATATTTGTAGATATTTTTGCATTAGAGATAAAATAATGGCAATTTCTATGGATAATGCTTCTAGTAACACTAGTGCTATAGGCATACTTACAACAACACTAAATCCTGCATTTAGTAATTGTTTCCATGTGAGATGTATTTGTCACATTTACCATTTAATCGTCGGTGATGGTATGAGAATTTTAAATTTAGAAATTGAAAAGGTTAGAATGGCTCTTAATTGGCTATTTTATTCAAACCGTAGAAGTAGACTTAGAGAGTATTTTAAAAAATGTGATGAATTTGGCCTTAGAGAAAGAAAGGTTCCTAAACCTTGTCCAACTAGATGGAATTATATGTACGAAAGTTTAGTAGTTGCATATGAATATAGAAACCCAATTAATGCAATGTTTAATGCTCGTGTTGGTGGTGAGGATGATGATGAAATCCTTAGTTGGTAGTTGGTACGAAAGTTTAATGATGTTGGTAGTTCAAGTAGCCACCTTTAAACTACATCCTGATTCATTCGCAATAAATGAGCCTTGTCCTGTCATGGATATACTACCAGCAACACTCAGTAGCCTTAAGAGCACATTTGTATTTACAGCTTACACTCAAACAAGCCCAGAATATCTAAATAAGACTTTTAAACAAAGACAGAATGCTTCAAATAAGTGAGAGATAGTAATGCAATAATAGTGTCAAAAATAGATGTTCATTTCAAAACACTTACAACTTTACATGAATACTACATCATAGCAAACACACAAAGCATAAGAAATCACAAAAGTGAACCTAAATCAAACATGTGAGTCCAAGATGTGTACCTTTATCAGCAAAATAGACAATAAAAGCAAAAATCTCTCTGAAAACTGGATGGAAACAATAGCAAAATACAGCAGCAACAGCCCCAAAAAAATATCCCAGAGATCTAAATCAAATCAAAACCATCTTTGAAACCAGAAAATCCAGCTAAAGGAACCAAGGAAATCCTCCACTTCAAACCATATTTTTCAGTTTGTGAAAACCAAAAGTAAGAAGTTTTGAATTTTTACTAGATTTCTGAAATCTGGTCTTTTTCAGAAAAGAAGAGAGAACTTTTTGCAGTGAAAATGATGCTCAATGTGTGTTTGTGGGTGAGGGATTGTTTCCCTTTTATAAAATTCACAAAAAGGCATCAAAAGAGAAATATTCTAACCTAAAAATTCTGAAAATCAGAATAGTACAGCATCTTTTACAGTTGTCTGTCCTTTTCCTTATCCAACACCAGCATTTTTATGCTAAGGATAGGGACAGCTGTGCAAAGTCTAGAAGGTTCTGATATTAGCCTATGCAAAAGTCCATTTTTACCCTTCTAATTACTGCATATTTCAGCTTTGTCCTAAGTTCTTTTAGTTCAATTAGGTCCCTATAGGTTTCTATTGATTTACAAATCATGGCAAACACAATTAGAACAAATCAAAAAATGCAAAAGATGTCAACATAAATAAAGATAAAAGAGCTGATGCAATTTGAACTAAAATTAACCTAATTACTAATAAAAGGTTGCTTTATCTAACTAACTACAGTAATCAAACTAACATTAATCAGAAAGCCATAAAGAAATCCTAGATGTTGAACTAATCATGTATATGAATCAAAACAGATTAGTTAACTCAATTAACACGTGAAATCTAATTACAGAACAGGGGAGAGGAACATTTAAACAAAGCAAAAGCAGAATAATCGGTTCATCAAAACCCTAGTTACGCGTAAACTTATGCAAATTGAAATGAAATCTTAGGATGCTCTGATTAATCTAATGGTCAAGGTATGAACAAACAATTAACAATTTTTAGAAAGAAGAAAAACCCTAAAATTATGCGGCTAAATCGAAACAATTAAACATGCAAAGAAGATAAAACTAACAGAAAAAGAGAAGGAAATTTACCTAAACTTATTCTTCCAAAAAAACTGGACTGACTTCGGATTCTGACCCAAATTCTCGGGGGTACGAATGAACTTTAGACAACCATGAATCAACTGCTCTCATTAAGGGCAATGAATTCATGGAAGTCTTGGGTTCAAAAGCCCCAAAAACTGTCGGAAATTTGGGAAGTGAAAGAAAGCTAGGGTTCTTGAGAACTTAGATTTAAAATTTGACGAGGCTGGGGCTGATTCAAAGAGAGATACGATGGTATTTGGAAAGAGGAGGGTAAGGTGATTGTTTGGTGTAATTTTGGATTGATTTGGAAAAGTTAGGGTTTGTGGGTATGAATCTCGGATTTGAAATTCGAGATTTTTGGTGATGATTTGAAAGAAACGAGTTACAGATTTGGAACGAGGAGATGATGGGGGTTCTGGAGTGTTAAATTGGGGAGGTTTGGAGTTGGTCCGCCGCTGTGAGGCGATTTCCGGCCGGCGGACCACGGCGGAGGCAGCGAGGAGTTTAGGGGCGGCTAGGGTTTTGGGGTTAGGGTGTTAGAGATGAACTGAAGGGGGATTCGAATGGGGGGAAAGTGTTTTTCGGATAGTTCTATAGTAAATAGGGGCCAGTTCCGGGCCGTTGGATTACAATGATCCAACGGTCGTGATGAAAGAAAGGCAAAACGGGGTCGTTTGGGGATGGGGCAGACCTGGACCGGGTGGCTATTTTGGGCCTGGGTTTTTGGGGCGGATTTGGGATGGGTTTGGCATTAAAATCAGCCTAATTGCTGAATTTTAAAATCCATTTCCAACTAAATCCTTATTTCCCTTTTTTTTTCTTTTATTTCTTTTTTTTAAATTAAAAATCCCAAATTCAAAAATCCTAAATTAATCTAATTGGCAAAATTAAACTAATTAGCTAATTACCATAATTATAAAAATTACTCAATCCTAAATTAAAAGAGAAAAATCAATAATCTAAAAATTAAAAAGGTAAAAATGTAAAATGGGCCATTTTTTTGTGATTTTCATTTTTAATAAAACAAATAATTAACTAATTAATCCTAAAAATATAAAAACAAAACCTAAATGCATTGCATGGTATTTTTGGCATTTTCATGATTTTCATAAAAATTAAACGTGCACAAAAATGCAAACAATTAATAAAAATCCTACAAAAATTCATATAAAATGGCAAATAATTGGAAAAAATCTACTTTCTTGGATTTTATAGGAGTAATTCATATAGGGCAAAAATCACATCCTCACATGGGTCACGCATATGGACTGACCCTACCCATTTAAAGGAGATAAAACCTAAAGAGGTTACCTAGGGAAGTTAAAACATAGATAAAATAAAATAAAAAACTGCTTCACGTTAGAGAGAGAATGGGAACGTGGGATTGAACGTGAGTGGCAGTTTTTTCCTCTCTTGAAACTCCTCTCTCTTTTATATATATCTTTCTTCCTCAACAGAGAAAAATAGAAGTCTTGAAGTAATTTTCCCTCAAGAAAACACGCTGTGATAAACAAGGTATTTAGGTGATGAACAAGAACTTCTTTTCCAAGAGAGACGAAGCCGGATTCGGGTAATTGATTGGAACAAATTTTGCAAAATTTTCGTTGTTGTTAACAGGTACACAAATTCGATGTCCCTATTACTCTATTTTACTAACAATCACCCCTGCAGAATAACAACAGATCATCAGCAAACCCCAACTGAATAATTTGCAGCTTCTCACATCTTGGATGGTAATTAAAATCTGGCTGATTCTTCAAAGTTCTGAGTAGCCTACTTAGATAATCCATAGCTAAGACAGACAAGAACGGAGATAGTGGATCCCCTTGTCTTAGCCCTTTTCTTGCTGGGAAAGGACAAGTAGGCCTAGCGTTTATCTGGATAGAATATGAGACAGTAGAAAGATATTTCATGATCCACTGCAAAAATCTGGCAGGGAAATTCATTGTTATCAAGATCTGCTTTATGAAACCCCACTCCAATAAATCATAAGACTTTTGCTTATCTAGCGTGATCATACATCTTGGAGTAATGCCCTTCCTTCCATAGCCCTTTACCAATTCATGAATCAGAATAATGTTTTCAGAAATAACTTTACCTGGTACAATGCAGCCTGACTTACATCAATGAGGCTGTCCATAACCATCTGCAACCTTGTAGTGAGCACCTTTATAATTACCTTGTACAGCACAGTACAACAAGATATAGGTCTATACTCTTTGATTGAACTTGAATTTTTAACTTTTGGGATCAATGTCACGACAGTGCAATTTATTGGCTTCTAAATCTCTCCAGTGTCAAAAAGCTGTTTTGTTGCTGTAATTACTTCTTCTCCTACAATTGACCATACTTTCTTAAAGAAACAAGCATTGAAACCATCACATCCTGGGGCTTTGTTGTCATCAATATTCTTCATTGCATTACAGATCTCATCTGTGGTAATTGGCTCTATTAGCTTCAATTGTTTATCTCTTGTTAGTATTGTTCCATTTATCATTATTGTTGGATTGATCATTGGCATTTGTTCAGCAGCATTCCCTAGTAGTTTTTTATAGAATCCCACAACTTCCTCCTTCACCTCTTGATCATTCTGCAACAGCTTACCATCCTGATTCACAAGGGCTTTGATATTATTCATAGAGGTTTTATTCTTCATACAAGTATAGAAATATGCACTATTAGAATCCCCAAGCTTCAACCATTTTGTTCTTGATTTCTGTCTCATAATGCCCTCCTTTATCATTCCCCATTTCTCCAGGTTACCTCTTAGCTTCTTCTCAATATCAAATAAATCTGTTTGATGATTTGGATCCTGCATTTTCTCTTGTGTCTCCTGAAGCTGCCTTCTAATTGTTTGAACTGTCTCTCTAACCTTTTTGAACTCCTCTGTATGCATCTTCTTCAGTTCTTGCTTGACTACTTTAAGCTTCTGCCACACTCTTTCCATTCTTTGCCATTTATTAGATGTATTCCATGCATGTTTTACCACTTTTAGGAACTACAGATGCTCAGCAACATAATCGTAGAATCTATGTGGCTTTGGACCCTCCTTTCTTGTTTCCTCAAAGTGAAGACATAGAGGAGTATGATCAGATATGAATGGTTCCATCACAACCACTTCCAATTGCTTCATTATTGTCATCCATTCTGCATTGACAATGTCTCTATCTATTTTACTCCACACATGGCTATTTGTCCATGTGTATTTTCTCCCTATATATTTAGTTCATTCATGTCATTGTTTAACATGAAATCCCTTAAGTCTCTTATTCCCACTTCTTGTACTGGATTATCACTTTTTGTGTCATCAACTCCCAGCACTGCATTATAATCCCCCATTTCTATCGAAGCCCCATCAATTTTATTCTGGATTCCTTCTAATTCCTGCCATAATGCTTTCCTATCTTCAACAGTATGAAGACCATAAACTGCTGTAAAATAGAATTGTACACTGCCTGCACCAATAATCACCTTCCCATGAATCAATTGACTGCTTTTCCATAATTCACTGAACTGAACCCTGTTTGGATCCCACATTACCCATATCCTCCCTTTTCCATTTCCATCATAATTTGTGGCACAGCTCCAGCCTGCTGCAATTTTCTTCATAATCTGCTTCCCTTTTTCTTCATTTGTTCTATGTTCAAATATAGCCAAAAGGCTAATTTTATTTGTATTAATAAATCTACATAACTCCTTTTGCTTGAAACTCTTATTAAGACCCCTAATATTTCAAGCTACTTGTTTCATTGTTGATTGAATAGATTTTGCACTACTCCTGTATTCTCACTCCTGCTACATTGGCCTCTCTCAACTACTCTGCCTTGATCAGATTGTTGTTCATGTTCATTATGTTTGTTGAGGATATTAAAGCCATTTGTTATACTCATCCTTCCTTCATCTGTTACGTTTGTTGGATTTGCTGCTGATTTTCCTTTAACTTTCTTCCATCCATCATTGTTTCCTGCTACTGTTTGGTTTTCAGTAGTGATTGTTGTCTCTTTCTCTTTCTCTTTTTCATGTATTTGCCCTGCTGCCCCTTTTACTTGCCATACTTTCTTCTGCACATTGATCCTCGTTGTTTCAACATTTTCCTACTGCCTTATCTCATTACAACAATGACCAATCATCAAACACCTTCCACAGTATTCTGGTTTCCATATGTACTCCACTTTTTGACTAAATTTCCTTCCAGCTGGATCCTGCACCATTACAGCTTCAGGTAGTGGTACTGTCACGATCCAAAATCTACTATGCGTCGTGATGGCGCCGGACACCGTTGTCAGGCAAGCCAACTAAATATTTAATTACACTCCAATTTTAACAATTTTTGAAAAGACCAAGATTTTTCCGTTAAATTTCATAAGTACAAAAGTAGCTGCTTCATTTCAAATTAAATAATAGCAATCAATAAAAAAAATATTTCAATACCATCCCAGAACCCGGTGTCACAAGTGCATGAGCATCTACTGATAAGGATATCAAATACAATATAACATCCATCCGGAATACAATGGACAGAAAGAAAATACAATTTACTAGAAGGGACTTTACAAGCTGCGGGCCACCTCGCATACCGCAACTCACCTAGCCACAGAATCACCCGCGCTGCTACGCCCAGAAGGCTGCTAGAGATACATATACCTGTGCAACAAAAATACACAGAAGTGTAGTATGAGTACGTAAACAACGTGTACTCAATGATTATCCCGCCTAATCTCGAAGAAGTAGAGACGAGATGGTTGACTTCGACACTTACTAGGGGTCCAATGATAGGGTAATAAAAAAGTGGGAAAATTATGGATTTTTATAGCAGTTCTATCTCGCAAGGCGGAAAAACAGGTAAACACCTTTAGCAAATATTAAGGGATTTTCAAGTTTACTTTTTATTATCTTATCGATTTATATCAATCCATGAAAGGCAATTTCCACATTTAAAATTCTCAAGCGACAAATAACATGCGCAAATCACACCGAGGCAACGACCCGATCCAACAGAAATGTAAACGGTACACTGCCGAGGGTCGAACGGCCCGAACCATAGATGCATCTATTTAATCTGCCGAGGCGTTTGGCCCGTTCCATAAATAAACGCATACCCTGCTCGCGAATCATGCATGCGACGCAGGTACACATAAAATACATGCTCAAGTAGCCAATTAAGAATTTATCGGGGAATAATTATCCAAATAATACAAATTCTCCATTAACAACCTTTAAGAAATGATGTTTACTCCATTTAGAAATTTACTTACTAATTCAATGTGATTTAAGCAATTCACGCTATCCATGGGTTCACAATTATTCCAAGTATAACATGTTTTTGGGTCCTATCTACCCGGACAATAGCATAATAGTAGCTACGCACGAACTCTCGTCACCTCGTGCGTACGTAGCCCCCACATATAGGAGCACATAATGAATTATTTCACCTAGGGGGACAATAACCTCTTACAAGGTTAGAAAGGAGACTCACCTCGCTCCGAAGACTCATAACCGGCATTCTACATCCTTCCGAAGGCTTGAACCGACGCACACTGCACCAAAACTAACCAATTGACGACAAACTAATGAGAACATACTCAAATACTTGTTAACAATTCAAATTATACAAATTCCCAACTCCGCTTAGCGAAATGACCAGAATGCCCTTTGGCCCACATGCCCGGATTCCGAAATTTCTCGAAGATATACGGAACCCATAACTTCACTAGCTCAAATATATAATTTACTCCTAATTCCATGCTCAAATTCGTGGTGAAATCCAATTTATAAAAATTTCTAGGTCTTCTTCCAAAATACCAATTTCTCCATAATTTTCATGCCTAATTCCATGATATAATCTTGTATTTAACTTGAAAATGAGTAGGAGTAACTTACCTTAACATAGATGACGAAAATCCCCTCTTGAAGCTCCCCAAAAATCGCCCAAGCCTTGAAGATATGAGAGAAATGAGCTTAAACCCCGATTTAAAACATGCCTTCTGCCTCCAGGCATTTCCGCACCTGCGGACCCTGGGCCGCTTCTACGGTTCCGCAGGTGCGGTCACCAGGCCGCTTCTGCGGTCCACCCTGGCCTCCCCAGCTTCCGCTTCTGCACTTCCTTTTCCGCAGGTGCGGTCCCGCATCTGCGGCTCCCTGACCATCTGCGGTTCCAGCACCCCTCACCAAAATTCGCATCTGCGGTCTTCCTGGCCGCTTCTGCGGCGCCGCACCTGCGGCCCCTTTTCCGCAGGTGCGGTTATGACAGCAACCAGACCCTTCAGCCTTCTTAAAATTCCATTTTTGATCCGTTAACCACCCGGAATCCACCCGAGGCCCCCCTCCCCCCCGGGATCCCAACCAATCATACCAACCAATCCCAAAATACATTACGGACTTGCTCGAGGCCTCAAATCATATCAAACAACGCTAAGACCATGAATTACAC